AGAGGTAGAGAAAGCTCAAGAAGAAGCTACGCCAGATGCAACTCCATTGGCTGCTCAAATGAATAACATGAATATTTCTGAAGAACCAACAGTTAAAGGATCATCCAGAATCAAAGCTTCTCATCCAGAAGAAATGATTATTGGGAAGAAAGATGACCCTATAAGAACAAGGTCGTTTATCAGATCATCTGGAACATCACTTCTTGGGATGGTGTCTATTATTGAACCAACATCTGTGGATGAGTCTCTGAGTGATAATGATTGGATAATTGCAATGCAAGATGAGCTAAATCAATTGATAAGAAGTGATGTTTGGGATCTGGTTCCTAGACCAAAAGGTTTCAATATTATTAGAACAAAGTGGATATTCAGAAATAAACTAAATGAGCAAGGAGAAGTTGTAAGGAACAAAGCAAGGTTAGTAGCTCAAGGTTACAGTCAACAAGAAGGAATTGATTTCTATGAAACTTATGCTTCAGTGGCAAGGTTAGAATCTATACTCCTTCTTATTTCATTTGTTGCACAACATAACATCACTCTATATCAGATGGATGTTAAGTGTGCCTTCTTAAATGGTATTATAGAAGAAGAAGTTTATGTCCATCAACCTCCTGGTTTTGAAAGTGATAAATTTCCAGATCATGTTTTCAAACTCAAAAAATCTCTTTATGGTTTGAAACAAGCTCCTAGAGCTTGGTATAAAAGATTAAGTAATTTTCTTCTGGAAAAGAACTTTATCAGAGGCAAAGTGGACACAACTCTTTTCTGTAAAACATCTAAGAAAGATTTACTAGTCTGTCAAATTTATGTGGATGATATTATTTTTGGATCTACCAATATTATGCTAGGAAAGGAGTTTGCTTTGTCTATGCAGGCTAAATTTGAAATGAGCATGATGGGAGAACTTAGATTCTTTATGGGAATCCAAGTAAATCAGACTCCAGAATGCACATATATTCACTAAACTAAATATGTCAAAGAGCTTCTAAAGAAGTTCAATCTGAATGAAAGCAAATTGGCAAAGACTCCAATGCATCCTACAAGCACACTTGGTAAGGAAGAGGTAAGTAAGAAAGTTGATCAAAAACTTTACAGAGGTATGATAGGATCTCTCTTATATTTAACTGCTTCAAGACCTGATATTTTATTCAGTGTTTGTCTGTGTGCTAGATTCCAACCAGATCCTAGAGAATCTCACTTAACAGCTGTTAAGAGGATTCTAAGGTATCTGAAAGGTACTACTAATGTGGGTCTGTGTTACAGAAGATCTGATGAGTATAAATTAGTTGGATTCTGTGATGCTGACTATGTTGGAGACAGAGTAGAATGTAAAAGTACTTTTGGAAGATGTCAATTTCTTGGAAGTCATCTGATCTCCTAGTTGAGCAAGAAACAACCCACAATTGCACTTTCAACAACAGAGGCAGAATATATTGCTGCTGCTAGTTGTAGCACCCAGATGCTCTGGATGAAAAGTTAGTTGGAAGATTATCAGATTTTTGAGAGTAACATTTCTATCTTCTGTGATAATACTTCTGCTATATGCTTATCTAAAAACCCCATTTTACACTCTAAAGCTAAGCATATAGAGATTAAACATCATTTCATCAAAGACTATGTTTAGAAGGGAATTATCAATTTAAACTTTGTGGATACAGATCATCAGTGGGATGATATCTTTACAAAACCCCTTGCTGAAGATAGATGTAAATATATTCTGAAAAATATAAGTATGGACTTCTATCCAGAATAAAATATTCATCAGATGAAATTTTCTCTCAGATGATAAATGTCTAAACTCTGAAGTATTTCTTCTTTTCATTTCTGTTTTTATTTATTTGTGTGTAAATCTGAACTAACAAGGCTCAGAGGATCTGAACGTTGCCTAACGTTTCATTTCTCAAGAAGATTCAGAGGCACATGCAAGCAAGCACGTGTAGCTCATAATCTGAAAAGATAGAGTGCACCATACTGAATTGACGTTTGAGGTATTGCTTTGAAAATCCAAAATCTCTTGATTTTCCCCTCTTCTGTCAGAATCTTAAATGGTTGATATGATTTTATTCCTTGCATTAATTGCTTGATATGATCATGTTTCACTTCATTCAATGCTTATGTGTACGCGTGAGATTGTTTGTGACTTTTGCATGCCCTAAATTGCTCTATAAATTCTCACAACACTTCACAAATCACACTTTACACTCGTTACACTTCTCATATGCATTTTTGTCTTCTCTATTACTTCCATCTCATTTCAAAACCCAAAACCTCTCGTAAACCCAGACGTATCTCCAGAACATCAATGGCATCACCATCTTCAACATCTGCTCAGATGCAAACCTCAATTGCTACTGCAACATCTCCAAATGCTGCTGCTTCATCTCAAACTGCTGTTGTGTACAAGGAACCAGTGAGAACTCTTCTCACTCCAATCAAGGATCTTGAGGTTCTGTGTGAGAACTTTGTAGATTTTGATTCCATTAAAGAATCTGAACCTAGGAACATCATTCTGACATTCATTGCTGATTGTTTGAAGAATGGTATCCCTCTGCCTACTAACATAGTTCAGAAAGAAGGAGAAGTATGTCCAAATCTTATGAGAGAAAGGTGCAGGAAGAGAAAAGCTGAGGAAGGATCTGTTGCACAGCCTAAGAGGAAAGCCTCTGATGCTGTTGACGAACCTGAAAAGGAAAAGAAGCAGAAGGAAAATCCTCCAGAAGCTAGCTTGGAGGAAACAAGCGAAACTATTCAACAGGTATTAACATCTGATCCCAAGCCATCTGTCCCTTCACCCTCACCTTCACCTCCACCATCTCCTCTTCAACCATATGAACCTTATTCATCTGAACCCATTTCATCTCCTCATACACATTCTCAACCATCTTCTATTCAACAACCATCTGAACCCCCTCTACAAAAATATTCTGATCAACAACCCCCTCAACAAACACAATCTGAACCACAACAACAACCATCTTCTGAACCACAAAAACAATCTGAACCACTCTCTTCTACTCAACCACCAGAAGAACCAACCATCCCAAATCCTGAACCCTCTATCCCACAAACATCTGAAGACATTCTGGATGTGCAACCCATTGCAACCATGTATGTCCTCTCTTCCACTTCATGTCGTTCAACTGAATCATCTGATTCTGATGAATCTGAAGTCCCCTCACCAACTAGCTTACAAATTCCTGATCCTTATAAACCACTTCCATTTGACCTACCTGCTTCTGAACACCCTCTTTGCTACAAATTTAAATTCACATATTTTATTCCACCCTCATCTGATCTTGTTACTGTTGCACCCTAATTTTTGACCATAAGATTCCACCTCTTTTGTTTTTTTACGTGTTTCCTTTTTATTGTTGTACGTGTGATTATTACGACTAACAAGTATGCGCAGGTATGTTAAATACAGGTGGGGATGACACTCATAATCCAATCCTTCCGGACATGGTCATTTGGTTCTTATTCAAGTTTATTCCTAAGGACTCAAGTGGAGTCGGACCGCTTTCATAGTTATCCCTCGTGGTCGCGAGTCTAAGCATGACAAGGTGAATCCAAATGGTAGAGTTATGCTTATGGTTCATCCAGAATACAAATTAAGTGATTATTTCAAGACTATTCAAGCGTATCATTTGGAACCCAAATTAATTGGAGTACACTATCTAAAGTTTTTGAGGCAAAGATATCAATTTGCGAGAGCATAGTCCATATGCTTCCGAGATTTATTTCAACACATAAAAACCAGTTAAATTTAAATTGCAAGAGTCGAATGGGCATTTATCATCTTCAGCCGTCTTGAGATTTTCTCTTCAAGTCATGCAAATACTTAATTATTATAATTATGTGGATTAAGGCAAGTTCATTTAGATTGCAAAGAGATTATAGGGACGTTGAAACCGCTCGAATTGCGAGACAAATCCAATGAAAGTTTGTTTAAATTTGTCTCCTAAGGCTTACGTTGTTGAAATCCAAAGAAAAGCAACGTTTGCTTTCATGCCCCTGTTTGCTTTGATCTTGAATTATTTCTATGGCTTGCCATTAGATTTTGAAGTATAAACAAATCTGAATTTCACTATGTAATTACAAAAGGACTCCTGTTCGGATAATACGTAACCGTCATCCATAACCAATCCTGATAACCCACCTTTAAGCCAAAGTTTTAAATGGTTACAAGCTATCACCAAATTCAATACATATGAAGAGGAAAACGTTTGCGACATCTTTCTCCTCAACAGAAGTTTATACTGACAGAAGTTTATACTAAGACCTAAGACAAGTTCTTCTAAGTAACTACTTGGAGCCATACAAGAATTTCGACACAGGATTATTAATAACTTTCTGTTTTGCCATCAGAACAAGCAAGCCCAGTTTAAGACGACGTCGTTTCCCGCTGGTCGCCTTCCCTGTTTTTTGAAGTGATCTTCAACCATGACATAGGTTTGTCCTTTAATCTCTCCAGAACGCCCACAGGACATACGGTTCAGCGGCTGTTATCTCTTCCCAAAATGGCAGCAATGATTCAGAGAAAGTAATTCAAGAAGAGGTTCATTCGGAAAGTGATAGAATTCTCAATTGTTTTACCGTATTCTGTGGCAAAGTCGCTACTAATAGTGGATCCCAGGCTATGAGAATCTCTCGGTTGTATCAGAAGACATCAAGCTGAGATTTAGTTGGAGAGAATATCACTTAAACCGCCAGTATATCACACCTGCACCAAACAAACTAAACATGATTATCAAACCATCAGGTCGTAAACATATTTCTAAAATATCACAAGCATATGTCTCACCATCTGCTCCATATAATCAGATAAGTATTGGGGATACTGAGTATTCTCAGGCTTCCATTGCTCCTTCAGTAGCCAGATTGCCATCCTACCCAGAAAATAAAAGAAGAAACGGTTGCATAATTCTGAAGTAGTTGATAGAAAGAATCAAGTTGAATCCCTCTGAATTTGTTGGTGAAAGCTGATTACAGAACGAAGAACAATGGAAGTTCCGAAGGATCAAATCACTTCTCTCCTCGAAAATGGACTCTACAACTCCGCTCAGATGCTCGGTTGTTCTCTTGTTTCTTCACCTGCTGCAAATGCTGAATCCTCTCCTCATATCAAAACTGAGAGCTTGGTGCTACTTGGTGATTCATTCTACCACGAAAGGGAGTATCGTAGAGCCATTCACACCTATAAGCAAGCTTTACAATACTACAAGATGATTCCCAAACAGAACATGTCATCTGCTCGAAGTTCATTATCATCAAATAGATCTTCTTCTCCAAATTCTTGCAGTATAACAGTAATTAATGAAAATGAGGTGAAGTTCAAATTGCATCATGTCACTATTTTCTAAATGAGAACAAAGCAGATCTAGTTGAGATGGAAGAAATTCCAAGCAAATCTAGAAGTTTACTAATGAATTTGTTATTAGGAAAGCTATATCGATTTTCTAGACATAGTCGAGCTGCTGTTGCTATTTACAAAGAATGCCTAAGACATTGCCCTTTTATACTTGAGGCTATCACTGCTTTATCAGAACTAGGATCTACTGCAAAGGACATAATTTCATTGTTTCCTCATACTCTAAATAGAACTGGCAGGGCTGCATCCAACCACCAGCTAGTGTGCCACAATCGGCTGCAGATGACACAGGATGGACAATCTGGACAAGCTGCTCCTTTTAATTGTTGCAATAGCAGCAGTAATGACAACACTCACCTGGCTATGCCAAGTAGTAAAGGGATTAATCAAGGCAATATGGGCAAGCCAGTTCATGTCATACCATATTTTGCACAAGTATACACCTTCATTGGCAATGTATTTGACCCAAATTCAACTAATCACCTACAGAGATTAAAGCAGATGGATCCAACAGTTAACACAGGCACCAATGGTTTTGCTGTTAAGACATTAAAAAGAGGAAAATTATCAAATGGATACCTCTGTTGCTGATCTTAAGCCTACATCACCAAATCCCAAGTAACAGAGTAGCTTTCCTTCAAATCTGGACTTCCACAAACGCATCAAACACGAATTCCCCCATCTGGGCTTCTAATTCATCATTCAGCCCAAACAATTGCTACTCGCACCTACAAAACGCAAAATCAAAATTAGCAAATCCAGAGGAATATATCTGTGTGTGAAAGATTCGAAGAATATCCAAATCCAAATTTTGAGCATTTAACGAAATTAGTACGCCTAAATCAAAGATTTGATTTTCGTTCAACAGACATTTAAGAGATTGGGGGCGAGAAAGGAAAGGTTTCCGAATTGGTCTGTACCGAAATAGAAAATCCAATCAACCTTCAAAGTGTTTTAAATCAGTTTTTCAAATCAATTAATTCTCAAAGGCCTATATAAGATGAATGAGAAGAGGAGGAAATCGTTCAGAGAGACCTATGTGCATAAACAGAGACTTCGAGTAAAAGAACTTATCTCAGTTAGCAACCCCCTCTGGCCACTGCGAAACATTACCGGCGCCGCGAATCAGACGGTCAAAAGCCCCATTTCACCACACATCTTCGCCGTCCCACCAGCCTTCGGTAACCTCTTGTTCGAACTAACTTTGTTGAATTATTAACGCGTTGAATGTTGTTTCAGGTACCGGAAAAGGACGAGCAATGAGAAATCAATCACGATTGAAAAACAGAGGAGAGATCGACGCGAGGAAGAAGATGAACGGAGAGAGAGAGAGAGAAGAACGCGATCGGAGATGGGAGCGAGAGAGAGGCGAGATTGAAGAATTGGGGGGGTGGGGGGAGAAATTGGGATTAGGGTTTCCGAGTGTTTTTGTTTTTCTGCAATTTTCTTTTACCATGTAATCGTGTGCACGCACACCCATAGTATTACCATGCACCGCACGCACACACCCACTGATCTCCCATCCAACAACCCACAACTAACGTCCATGGTAAGCCCTCACGACTGCACACACACAATTCGCATCATCCCCATTATCCAACTTAATAAACCTAATTAACCTTATAATCATATAATTAAACTAGTAACTATCCAATTTACACCACTAATATTTAATCCAACTAAGTGACCTTTTATTTAATCTTTTTCTAAACAACCTTTTTCTATTTAATTTACCCTCTTTAATTTATAATTAATTTAATAATTTAATAATTTACTTCTCCAATTTTAATCAACCTTTTCTAATTAAAATAAACTCATGAACCTTTCGTCTAATTTATTTTTTTTCTTAAATAACTAATTTATTCACTTAATTAACTTTTCTTAATTAATCTATTTTTTTAACTCATTAATATATTCAGTAAAAAATTATTTATTAATTTATTTTCTTAATAGCCTCTTAATATATAACTTTTGTTTATGCCCTTAATAAAAAAACCATCTCATTTAATTTAATTTAACTTTTAAAATCTCTTTTAATAAAGATAAATGATGATCAACTTTTGTGCAATAAAATCTTTAAGAAATATCAACCAAAAATAATTTACATCAAAAATAAACTCTCCTTTTTTTAAATTTTCATCTCTATTAATTAAAGGAAAAACCTTTATTAACAACTTCCATTTCATTAGCAACTAATTTTTTATGTTAATAATAAGAAAGCTATTTATAAATCTAATTAACTTATTCTTGATAGCTATCCACTTAATAATAAGATAATAGAAAGCATTTTACTCCTCTTTAATAATCTTCACCCATTAAAATTATTTCTATCTAAAATTAATTTCACTAATAATAATCCAATTCAATTCTTCATAAAATCAATTCAACTTTTATTAAACTTTAAATTAATCTAATAACCTCACTCATTTTTCTTAAAATCAATCTCACCAAATTTAATTAATATTTTCTTAAAATCAATCACACCAAAACTAAACCTCACTAAAATATTATTTTCTTATATGTACAATTCAACTAAAATTAATCCCGCTTAAAAATCAACTCAACTCATCTGACTAAAATCAATTCGGCTCTTGCCTAAAATAATCTAATTTCTTAAAATCAATCTCAAGTTAATTAATACGCGTGCACGCTTACATCCCTCATTCGTTCACGTATTCACAACTTCACATTCACACCACGTACACTCACTTCAGCGCTTTCATGCGTTTGTGTATGGTTTACTTTATCCACAATTTATTCTTCAGCAATTTACATTACCGCATTTATATTTCTGCCTTGCATTCCGTCCAAAGAAAAAACCTACACATGATTCAACAATTGTGTGTAGTGCACATCATTTCGCATCATTTTCCCCATGATCCTTGATCCCATTCAAGTTGATCAATTAAGATAGATCCTACCCCATAGGAAGGACCTTTATCTTTACAACATAGAAAAACAAACAATCAACTCAAAACAACAAATATTCAAACACATTAGAGAAAGATGCCAAATCATCTTAAGCGAGATAGAATCTCCACCCCACATCAATACAATCAATATCGTAGGAACTTTGCCTTAAGAGAGATAGAGGCGTACCTCGTCGATCCCTATCCGAGTACTTGAGCCCTTCTCTTAAGATGATGCAAACACTACATTCCTACAATTCGTGGCGGTTAAATCTCTCTTTTAAATGATGACCCGTATTTTCTCCTAAAATCAATCAATCAATTACCCTAAACCCGTAGGAACTTTGACCACAGTCAAAGAACTCCTCAAACCCTTTAGTGGAACTACAGATACTCTAATTCCACTCCCGTAAGGATATGTAGGCATAAGATGCGACATCTTATCGAGTATACTTAGAAATAAACCACCTAGGTCTTCAAACTTTAAGCAGATAAACCATAGCTATAAACAAACATGAAACAAGAGGTTCCTGTAGAATACTACAGAAACTTAGGATGCTAGCACCTTCCCTAAGTTTAACCGACCCCTGAACCTATAACTCTCTAGCTTGCATTTGCATTGCATCGTGGGAATTTCGATCTTTATCCCTTCCTTTGGACAAATCAAAGTTCGGTTGCAAATGAATTAGATTCAAACTAATTAATAGTTTGGTATCCAAATTTCACCGCGACAGAAATGGCGACTTCACTGGGGATGTCTCTAGTGGGTTTCCCTACCTTGCTTTATTTATTTGTTTATTACTTTATATCTTCTTATTTGCCTACTTGTTTCTTTGTTCTTTGTTGCTTTTTGGGTTGCTACCTTTGAGTGGTGAGACAAAGTCCTACACCCGGACTTGAGTGAACTTAAGATAGGATAGTGATATGTTCAAAGAGGCTTATAGGGGTGGAATCCCGACCAAGCTGACTTGAAAATCACGCTCAATTGAGGCCCTCTTGAAAATTATATTGTTGAACGAGTTCTTAATCGTGAAAACATGCACTATATTCAATGTTGGAGCCTATGATATTGAGGACCGTAGTTACCTTTAACCCTACTTTGGCCTTTATTAGGACGTAGTGCAAGGCTATGAGGGAGTACACCCGAAATAGTGCTACGTGATGCTACACTCAAAAGAAGTTCTCTTGAGAATATTATTAACCACCGAGTACTTGGGAAGTTAATAATATCCGAAAGATAAGCTAATGACTTTGAGGACCTATTAGAACCTTGTTCCGCAGGTACAATCAATCTTTAATCCGTGTCCTTTGAAAATGGGTATACCCTTTGGATCCATGCTCGTTGCAAACCTAGGATCCCCCCTTTGTTTGTTTATATTTGTGCATCTATGTGCTTACTTGTGTTTGTTGCATTCATATAACATCATACCACATTGGACTTCATGGGATTTACTTTTGTTTATGAACATTGTAGGGTACTACGGATCCCAATAGAAGACACACTTTGAAATACACTTTTAAAAGTCCCAAATTGGATGATTGTCGCTACCGCAAAAATAAGGTGCCGGCAAAACTGAAGAGTCGCGACCTTTCGTTATTTATCCCTCGGAACAGGAAAGGAAACAATAGGAAAAACCTGACGAAAAGGTATAAGACAAGGTCATCGCAACCATTGTCTGGGTTCGGGAGTCAGTTACGCAAGGGGAAGGTATTAACACCCCTCACGTCCATCGTACTCGATGGGATCCATGCTTGTTGTGTTTGTCTGACGGGTTGGTTTTACTATCTACCTATCAAGGCCGGTCTGAAACGAAAAGAAAGTGACTCGGAAAAGCGTCGCACTTTATGCCTATGTATTCTCATCAGAGAATGAGAAATCAGAGTCAACGTAGTTCGACTAACTACTGGTTACGGGGAAGGTGGCTCGCCAATACATCAGTATTGTGCCTACATACTCTCAACAGGTATGAGAGATCAGAGCTTACGTAGTTCGGGATAATACGGATTACAAACAGTTCCAGCAGTTTGGCGTACGCAGCTCGACCCTTGGAGACTTAGGCGTTACCGTTGGCGGTAGAACTGG